CCATTGCTGCTAAACGGGTTAGATCTTCATTGGAAGAAGCAAGAATTATTTGTATGTTATTAGGGAGACGCGAAAGCCATAGTGACTTCAACAAGTCGTCACTAAAATGGCTTCCGGCCAGATCACGCATTCGTGACAGCAAGTATGAAGGTCGCTGATCTCCAAGTTCAAGTCCTTGTAGTAAAGTACGTATTTTTGAAGATTCACTTTCTGAATAGATTTCAATGAGCCGCTGTTTCAGTTTGGAGTATTTATCACAATCAGGTGGTTTGAAAATTAAGTCATGCACTGAATTCAGAATATCAGACTCAATTGCTGCAACTACATGGTTGAATTTTGTAGAATCCTCACTAATGCGAGCGATAGAAAATTGTGCTTCGATCTGAGCGAACCACAATGAAGGATTATTTTTCCAGAAAGGCGGTGGCTTCACCGCAAAGCGTGTGATTTGTGGCTCTGATGGAATATCGTCGGACATACTGATAGATAATTTTCACTTTAAATAATAAACACTTAACAGCACAAATATTGTAGCATGAAGATACACTATTGATATTTTACCATGATAACAATAAATATTTTAACCATGCATAAAAAATTTACGTAATGATACACACACAAATAAGACAGGATCAGCAATTACACACACAAATAATATTTTACCGAAATGCATTTGAAAAGAAACCCTTATTTGAGAAAAAAGTGATGCGTTCATTTTGTATTGCGCACACACAAAATCACCACTTCACACTGCTAAGGCACTTTCGAAGGAAAAAAGGAAATCACTCCTGTAGCACATGGGAAAAAATTCACTACTTTCGAACACTGAGGGAAGAATTTTGCCGTAGCACGTTGCACAAAAGTTACTGATGTAGCACATTTAGCGAAAATCACTATTGTATCACATTTGTCACAAAAGTTGAATGATCGAAGAATTATTGCACGACTGGCGAAGTCAGCGGAACGGAACAGATCACATTGATGATTTGCTGAAGCTCCTTGCGATGATATGCACGACTTTGAAAAAAAAACACAAGCAATATATATCAATACTTCTAGAAATAATTGAAGGGGTACGTTGTAGCATACGTTTAATGTCCATATTCGTTGTTATTTTTAGTCAGTTCTTCAGAATGCCTTGGATGCACGTGGCTTAGGGTCGTTGAAAATCCATTGTCAATAGCGTGCTCAGTCAAAAGGTCACCACTTTTGGTGGTCGTGTGTGCTTAATGCATGATATAATTAAAGAAAATAAGAGTAGACAATCTCCTATAACAAAAGAATATATTAAGTACTAAATTACAATTTAAATTACATTGCAGAGATCAACACAGAGCTCGGAACACAGTTCGTGCTACCTTCGCGTACAGTTGTGTGACGAGAAGTCTGAGTGAGTAAAGATGTCGCTTTGCTGCTCCGATTAAGAACTGGATTTTACACGTGGCGCCATCTCATGAATAGAAGTTGAAGTATCTGTCGGAACGCCACAGTACTCCCCCCCCAAGTACCATCGGTACGTTATAAGTACTTTGGGTTAAATTTAACCTTTCTTCCAGATCTGGTAGTTTTAGGTTGCTCCTTAACGGGATGTAAGCTTTCTTCCGGGAGTGATGTTGATGAGGAAGTTGTTGGATCTTGCATTAGAAATGCTGGTTTGAGACGATCGATTCCAATCACTGATTGTTTGCCATTGCAGATGATGGTGAAATGTTTCGGTGTTCGTTTGACAACTTTGAATGGACCATCATATGAAGGTGTTAAAGTTGGCTTAATTGCATCGTTGCGCACGAATACGTGCGAAGATGTCTCAAGCGCAGGATGTACAAAATAGCTTGGCTGGTTATGCGAAGATGCTGGGGTTGGCGAGATATTGCTCATGGTCTCACGTAAACGTTGAAGGAATGTTGGAGGGTCGATAACTGGAGTAGATTCTGGGTGAAAGAATTCACCTGGCAGACGGAGGGTTGCACCATATAACATTTCAGCACAAGTGCTACCAATGTCTTCTTTGAATGCTGTGCGAAGACCAAGCAAGACTAGGGGTAAGGCTTCTGTCCAGTGTGTGCTACTGTGGCACTTCAGACCTTGTTTGAGAGATCGGTGAAAGCGTTCCACCATGCCATTTCCAGATGGATGGTATGGTGTTGTGCGAATATGGCGAATGCCAAGAAAGAGAGGTGAGGGATGCGAACAAGTGACATTGAAATTGTCGGCCTTGGTCAGTAGTGATGGTGGTAGGCATGCCAAATCTTGAAAGCCACTGGGAGATGAATGCTCGAGCTACAGTTTCAGCGGATATATTTTCAATAGGAATGGCTTCAGGCCATCTTGTGTACCGATCAATACAAGTGAGGAGGTAAGTGTAACCATTTGAAGGAGGCAATGGGCCAACCAAGTCTAAGTGCACATGATCAAAGCGTCTTGCTGGAAGGTTAAATTGTTGAATGGGGCTGTGAGTGTGACGGGATACTTTACACCGTTGACATCTAATACATGAACGAGTCCATTCTGTGATGTCTTGATTCATTGCTGGCCAGACAAATCTGTCTGCGATCAGCTTTTTGGTGGCACGGATTCCAGGATGTGCCAAATTGTGCAAGGCATTAAACACTTCACGTCTAAAATTGACAGGAATATAGGGACGTATTCTATTGTTCTCTATGTCACAGTAAATTTTAAGCGTTGGATCAATGTGCAGCGGTTGTAACTGAAGGGAGGTTTGTGGATTTGAGATTAGATTCTTGAGTTTCTTGAGCTTTTGCAATTTCAGAGAAATCTGGGGTAGTGAGGTTGATATTGTTTACCCGAGACAAGGCATCAGCGACACAATTATCAGTACCAGAGACATATCTGATATCTGTACTAAACTGGGCGATGAAATCCAGATGTCGAAGCTGACGAGGAGAACATGAGTCAGAGTTTTTTCTAAAAGCGAAGGTTAATGGTCGATGATCGGTGAAAATGATGAAGTCGTGTCCTTCCAAGTTGTGCCGGAAGTATTTAACAGCACAGTACACAGCAAGTAGCTCTCTGTCATATGTGCTGTATTTCCTTTCTGCAGTAGTAAGTTTTCTGGAGAAGAATGCCATTGGGGAAAGTCCTTTAGTGGTATGGGCTTGAAGCACTGCTCCTATGGCCGTGTCAGATGCATCTACCATTATAGAGAGCTGATCACTAGGTGAGTGATAAGAAAGTGTGGCTGCATTTGCCAGATCGTGTTTGCATTGCACGAATGCTCCAGATGCAGATTCAGTCCAAGGGACAACTCGTTGATCGTTTTTTTTTTTGCTATTCTTCAGAAACTCATGTAGGCAGGCTTGTGTTTTTGCGGCATTTGGCAGAAAGCGTCGGTAGAAATTTAACATTGCTAGAAAACGCTTCAGTTCAGAGATGGTTTTGGGCTGAGGTAGGTCGTTAATTGCTTTGACTCTTTCCGGTAAAGGTTTAACTCCGTTCTGGGTGATAAGACATCCAAGAAAGGAAACTGAGGGTTGACCAAGTACACATTTGGATGGATTTAGTTTTAATCCATGATCTTTAAGGCGAGTGAAAATCTGACGCAGATGTTGAAAATGTTCTTCCCCATCTGTAGATGCAACCAGGATATCATCAAAATATGGAATGCAGAAATCGAGACCAGACAGTACTTGGTGTATGAAACGCTGAAATGTTTGGCCAGCATTGCGAAGGCCAAATGGCATATATAAGTACTCAAAGAGACCAAATGGTGTAGTCACTGCGGTCTTAGGCACATCTTTTGCATGCACTGGGATCTGATGATATGCTCTGGCAAGATCGAGGGTAGAAAATATGTTTGTTCCATGAAAAAGATGGGTACAGTCTTGGATATGTGGGACTGGATATCTGTCAAGGACTGTGATGGCATTAAGTCGACGATAATCTCCACAAGGCCGCCAGTCACCATTAGACTTTTTAACCATGTGAAGTGGACTGGCCCATGGACTTTTAGATGGGCGAATGGTTCCCTGTGCTAGCATGAATTAATTCTTGCGACACTTTAGATTCTGAGAAGACGAACTGAAAAAGTGCCAGTTTCATTTATAATTTCTTTATGTCTGGTGAAATGAAAGTCGTCTTTAAACACTTATATTTAATTAATCTTTTACCATACTGGTTGCCATCTTTCATTGTGCATTCTTCAATATTTTTTGGTACTTACGTATTAACACAAACACCTGGATCAGTTTGGTGGTCTTTATAAATGAAAAGAGAAAAATACTTATCAGGAGAAGTACGTTGTTTTTGCAGCTTGCTTTTAGCATAACCAAACTATCAATATTTATCTAAGTTGGCAAAATGTTATCAACATATCAAAGGAAAAAACATTTAACAAATTTTAAAATACTAATTTGAATTATTAAATAAAAATTATATGATAGTTTAAAAAAAATACATTTTCCACAAATTTTTTGTCTAAATTTTTTAGCACTTGTGCCAAGTGATCTGTTTTCACTTAAAAAAAAAAAAAAAAAAAAAAAATCAGAGAATTACATAAACTTGATACTGCATGCCTTGTCTATGTACCAAATTCATCTCATAGTTGTTTCCATTAGAAATTTTTGTACTAAAATGTTCTATTCCTGCAGAACTTTTAACACAGCTTCGTCTTTTGATGGTAAGCTCCACAAGCAGTATTTTAAATCTGAAATTAATCTAAAACAACTATTCGTATCTAAAATCCATTGGAACTTGAAATACAACATAAGAAACACATATGAAAATGGTGACATTGCTTGAATGAAAAATTGTCATGAGCATGTTACCTGAAAAATTTTGATACATAATCGTTGCCAGAGTTTGGCACATTTTTGAAAATTTGGTAACTTTTATTAAGGTGGTTTCAATAATATGCAAATATCTTTTATTCTTATGATTGCTTCATTGTATACTTTTTCCCTTTCCCTAGAGTGCAGCACAATACCACAAGTTTTCCAGCCAAATGCGGTATGCATTTCAAGTTTCTATACATTTATATAAATTTTAAGAGAGTAAAATATTGACAAAAACTGCATTAAGTTTTCAACTCTTGTTTTGTTTTTCATTAAAAATTTGCTACCATTATGTATAATTCATTTTTTTTAATGTAAATGTTTTTAAGTATTTGTAGGATAAAGGCAAATTACACTTATTCATTCTTTCTTTGATATAATACATGTAGCTCTTTACCTGAAATCAATGTTTGTCAAATTATTGTGCATAAATTAGAAGTATGCATGTTTCTCTTAAGTCAGTTATGTTTCAGGAACTATCTTTAATGAATTGTATAGAAAATTGTGGACGAGGTGTTAGGTGTACAGGAACGTGGTATATTATAAACATGTATAGTATCTCATAGTATATAAACTCATAACTTTGATTATGCAGTATGCTTTGTATATTATTTCTGAAAGCATGTATATTTCAATCAAGATTGTTGAGTAAACTTTTCTTGCTTTATGCTATCTCTGAAAGCATGTATATTTCAGTCAAGATTGTTGAGTAAATTGTGCTTATTTTATGCTTTTTTCTTTTTTACATTAGAAAATTCCACACCTTTATCACGAGGAAATCTGCAATGGCATTTAGGAATGACAAGTTTGTATCTATTACATAAAATCTAATGTTTTCTGGATTCTTCTTTTCCTTTTCCTCCCAACAGAAAAACTTTAATGGTATAAATCAGCGGTTTTTCAACCTTTTGACTGTAGTGTACCATCTAAGCAAAAACTGAAAAACATTAATACCTACCACTAATTTTACAATGATTATTTTTCAATTCCTCAATAGAAATATTAAAAAACTATATATATATATTGCCATTTGCACACTCTTTGTATTAAATATGTACACATAAAAAACTATTAGATTAAAAACTGATGATTACTTAATTATCAAAATTAAATTTAATTAAATTAATTATTCACTTGATTATCAAAATTTCAGTTATAATACTTTAATATTTAATTTCTTTATGTCTGCTCTTATTTCATTTAATGGTAAATTAGGATCCACTTTTTATTTTGGTGAGTATTTATATTTCAAATTTAACATGGAAAAAATCATTTTTCACACAAACAGGTTGTGCGAAAAGACAATACAAATTTGATAGCTTTATTTGAAATGCCTTTAAATTCTTTTTTTCGGTTCAGCCAAAAGTTAACAAGTGTGTCATTTTCCAAATCTTCAAGTCAATTTCGATCAAAGGAAATTTCTATTAACTATTCTTTTCTTTATGAGATTTTTGAATTTCATAGTTAAAAATATTTTGTTTCTTTGCATACCACCGGCTGAGAACCGCTGGTATAAATTAATTATAACAGATGTAAATTAATATTTCTCATACAAAAGAGTTATTTCAATTCTTTATTGCGAACATTATATACAGAGTATGTCTTTTATTAACAACAAGATTTTAAGAATTTAAAATAATAATCATTAAATCCTCTTGATCTATAAACAGTCTTAAAAATTATAAAGGGAAAAAAATTGAAAGTTAAAGAAATCAATATTATGAATTGTTCCTTTTTAGAGAAGTTTCATTGTTTAATTAATTATAAAAAGTGTTTTACATTATGAAATATAAAAATTAAGAATATTTGAATTTGAATGAATATTTTAAAATTTTCCCTCAGATAGAAGCTCAACTATTCGAAGCAGGAGACCGAAGAGAAAAAAGGAAGAGAGATGATATTACAGCTGCAGAAAAGGAAATAATTGAAACGCAGAAGAATATATTAATGTACTGTGTGAAATATGTGACTTGTATAAGCAATCAGTTGCAAATCAGTCTGCTGTCATAGAAAATCAAAATATAATTATTAATTTATTAAAAAAATAAATCATGCATTTCAAATATTACAGTGTTTTCATTCTTGTATGTATTTCTGCAGTGTGGGATTCATATTTTAATTGTAAAATTTACTACTTTCTTAATTTTATAAAATTTTGTGATTATAAAAATTATTTAAAAGAAATTCACAGATCCATTATATGACATAAACATTATAATAATTCTAATACCACTATTATAAGTCTCGTGAAAATATTTATGCATTTTACACAGCAATTATCTTTTTCCTGGAGGAAAATGGGAATAAGACCTGTAAGAATCTTTAGTCAATGTATTACAAATTTTAATTTTCAGATATAACACGAAATGAATTAAATTGTTTTTCAATTATGTTAATAAGTTATATGAATGAGATGTGGTATTAAAAATTTCATTTCTTTTTATCATTGAAGAAATAACATTCGATATCCTACAGCTCCATAACAATGGCAGATAAAATTGACATTCTAATTTCGAAGTTCTAAAAATACAGAGATGACAACTATTAAAGTATGGCTAATGTCTAGTTTACAATAACAATGTTGAGTCGCGTACTAAAAATTAAGTGAATCAAACTGTATTTATTTTCCCCCTTCTCTTTTTTTGGCTGAAAAACAATTTATTATACACTCATGATTTTACTTAAATGTATTTCTTTTAATGGCAAACCCACTGAGGTAAGTATGCAGTAAGTTATTATAGTGAATGCGTAATGATGATATAAATCTAAATTCAGCAAACAATCTTTCCCTTACTTTAATGTTTTAAAATCTAGAATTAAAGAAAAATGTATGTTCTTTAAATAATACAAGAGGATATGGAGGCATAAATCATAGGCTGTTTATTCTTTACATATTATGCTAATCAGGAATTGGAGCAAAACCCTGCTTAATCGAAGAATACGCTCACAGGAATGGTGGAGGAAAATTGAACTGTCCAATATTTGTTTTGCCCACCCCAAGAAGACATAAACTGGGATAGATAAATAAACAGTATAGAGTGAAATAATTGTTTTTAGGAAATACATTTAAATATCTTTGACAGAATATGTCAGTTTTAATTTATACTATAATAAATAAGCATGAAGTTCTTATGCTATTAAATGTGTATTGTCACATGGAAATTTTCTATCTTGTCCCACGGAAGGGGACGAAAGGGAAACATTTGACTTTTTGGAAGAAACTGAATTTCGGTGCAGTAAATCTTATTGCTAAGTTTAAGATAAATTAAGTGCAATGCTAATTTATAGTGACTTACTATTGTAAATCATGACTGGCATACCAACACTAAAATATATATATATCAAGCCTATTAAGTTATTTCTGGTAGTCAAGAGTTTTTAAACATAAATGATGGAAACAAGAAATTCAGAGGGAAGAACAATAATGATAAAAGTTGTCAGTATGCATTTGAAACCAGGACTAATAAAATTATTTAGGATTATTATTATCAATTAAAATCATTTAGGGTTGTGCATTTAGTTACAGGTTTAAATATAAACCATGGCTTGTGGGTCCCCAAGAATATATTATGAAAGTAATTTTTTTTCATAATATATTCTTTATTATCCATGAAGGGGGTTTCACCTTTGCCAGAGGTTCATTGTTGCCCACTTTGGGTTTTTATTATCGAGTTTCAAAATTTAAAGATAATTCATTGTGCAATGCAATTTCAACATGCACTGACTGAAAACTTTCTGAAGGTACCAACTCATCATCTTCAAACACATCAATCTCAGGATTTTCAACACAATACCTTAAGCATATATTATGTAAAATGGCCACCAGATATGACCATTTTACATATTTTGCTTTGTGAATACAATAGTGTTCCACCAGTATCGTGCAGTACCCTAAATCTTGATTTGATCTCTATAGCTGCACGAACTTTTCTGTGCTTCTCATTATAGAGATATTCCCGTGATAAAATGGGAATATAATCCACTATCTCCCAAAGATATGCACGATGCGACAAAATACTATCTAGATTTTGTTTCAGTCCACTCCATATAAATGCATCATGAGTATTGCCTGGCCATTGTCCTATAGCATAGAGAACCCTCAGACCAGCATTCCATACCTAGAAAAACATAAATCCTAAGTCAAAAGAAAGTTTCATCTGAAATTTTAATACACAGATTTTTAACATTAAATATAGTTGATATATTAATAAATCAGTCTTTTTAAGGAGTTTACTTTCCATTTTTAACAAAAATATGTCACTGTTTTTTCATTATTAAAAAATATGCAATAAAACAAACACAACACACAACCACACACAAAAAAAAAAAAAAAAAAAAAAAAATTACAGCTACCCTTTTTTCATTAAATTGTAGTAATTATAGTAAATAGGTGATTCTAAAATTTATTTAATATCTATACTTCACTATAATTATAGTATAGATAGCTTTTTGTTATTATTATTTGAATAATAATGAAACATTCTTGCAGTAATTTGAAATGACTATAATATTATACTTATTATCATATATTTCTTACCTTTTCACCATTAATGGAAAATTTATTTTTCCGGTTAATGAAGACAAAACAAAAATTAATATCACCACACTCGCAACATCTGCGGTTTCATTTGTATGTAACCCAAAATAATTCTTGGTAAGCTAGGTAGAATCACACTTGTGGTTGCACTCCAGTTCTTTTACAGCTGGTCGAAAGAATTAACATCTACTGTATGTGGAAATAGCGAACAAAACAGTAAGAAATTGGAACAATTACCCGTGGACAACTTGTATTCATAGCATTCTAAAATGAGCTTTTGGTAAAATTTGACCGCAAATAAAACAGTAGTAATGAACGAATGTTTTTTTCACAAAGTGGGTCCAATACTTTCACAGCAGGGTTATTTCATGTATTCTGCAGAGAGACTGATGTATGGTTTGTTGTAACTGCTGTATATAAATGTCTGGCTCAGAATTCCACAACAGTAATTAGCACAACTTTCATGGTTGATGGTATAATATGGAGGTACCAAAAATTAGTATTATCACAGTAACTGCAAGATGGCTTATATTTCTAAAACTCAGTTAACACATTTCATGCAGAAAGAAAATATTATCCAGTTTCATACTTAAATCAAGGTCACTGAAATGTGGTAAAAGCAATCTGCTTAAGAAAACAGATGCCTCTGTAGAGGACTTTCTATGGAAAACTGGCTTTCATTCCCATTATACATGGGCAAAACCAATGTCATGTAATATAATAATCTATTAGTACAGTAAATACATTTAATTTCTTTGTATTTATTTATGTCATGCTGCTTTTCGTGTAATTTAGTATGATAACCTTATAAGTTTATTTAATTCTGATCATGGTCTACGGAAGTAAGGTAAGTCACCTGTTATCGAGAATATCAAGTTATTAATAGTTATGTGAAAGTCTGCAATAACTTTTCATATCATAAGAGATTTACGAATGTGTATATAACTTACATGTGTAGTTATTATGCAAGATCTATAGAAAGTATCCAAAATTACCATGACATTAATCACACTGTACGAACAGGCAAGACATTATACATTAGGAGAAAATTAACTAATATTTTGGGGGATGAAATACTATTTTACACATGGGAACTGTAAAAATTCATGCTTTTTTCCCCTACAGTTACAGAATATATATATATTGTTTCCTAAGAATAAAAAGTAAAGTTAAATTTAAATAATTCTCATGCGCCATTGCTGCAAAGAATGAAATTTGAATTTAACAAATATTCTCTATTCATATAAAGTTAATTTAAATTATGAAATTTTAATTGCATACATATCAAAGATTAATTATTGCTGCAAACTAATTTACTATATCACTGAAATTCTGAGAGCATATGTAAATTAAATGCACGTATCTAAAACCATGAAAAAATATATAATATTCCAAAAAACTAATCCCAAATATATACATATATATATATATCTCAAAGACAGGCATATGCATAATTTCTGTTAGAAAAACACATTTCTCCGAGATTACGTTTTAGAGTAATTAAAACAATAAATTAATGGTGATATTATTACTGCATTCCAAAATTCGCAGTAATTAACGATTTCGATCATTACTACGAAAAAAAAAACGGGATGAAAAAGAAAGAATCCTGATACAATAACATTAAAAATTTGTGTGTTTACGTATAAAAATATATAATATTCTCAAATAGGTCATTTAAGCATAGTCTTTGATTCGGAAACATTTCCAGAAGTATTTCAGTTTTCATAATCTGAAGTAAAAACAAACCTGCTTTTGCAGAGAATATCCATTGGCAGTTGCCTTCAGAAAAGGTTTCAATTCATTGAAGCAAACCGATTTAATCTGAATCAACTGATGAATTCACGCTCCGACATTTCAAAAGCATTACGACTGTCTCTTAAATGCCAAGGAATTCGATCAGCATTTCTCCGATTTCTTAAACGTTTGAGTAAAATCACTTCAGCCATCTTGTTTACAGTCGCTGTTAAGAGTTTGCGGCAGGTCAGGAGTAGCCGCAAAATTCCTCTATGGCAGTGACGTATTTTCAGTAGGCGTGTCCGAAAAGCGTTGCACTTGAATTCGGTTTTGCAATGCAAGTGCGATTACCATGATAAGCGTTGCACTTGAATTCGCCCCTTAGAGGAGCCTTACTTCGCACCCATGGAAGTTAGAACAGCATCGTTGTTCCCACCTTCTTATTCGCAGCTAAACTTAATTTTTCGCCCTGTGGGCAGAAAGACTTAGTGGATGCAACACCAAATATATCTGTACTTTGTCCGATGGAGTGCATAACAAATGATGAGAAGCCAGAAGTACAGTTTGCACTTACCTGCAATATTTGTAACGAAAAGTTTTCGGGTATTGATCTTTTAAAAAAACACTGTGCTTCGCATTTAAACTGTCCAACTCACATATGTAACGTCTGTCAGAAAACGTTTTCACGTAAATATACTTTGCAGATTCACTCATTAATACATTCCGGTAAAAAGCCTCATGTCTGTGATATTTGTAGTAAACGTTTTACTCAGAGAAGTGATTTAAATAAGCACTACCGCCGTCATGCCGGGTTTAAGCCAAATATTTGCGATATCTGTGAAAAGGGATTTGCACAAAAATCTGATCTTAAAAAACATTATATGGTTCATACTGGAGAAAGACCCCATGCATGTGCGATTTGTGACAAAAGATTTGCTCAGAAATCACACCTTAATGATCATTTTCTGATGCACATTCAGTTAAAACAATATAAATGTAATGTCTGCGATAGACAGTTTCATATGAAACAAAGTCTTAAAAAGCATTCCATCAAACACGAAAATAGAAAACTCTGTGAATGTAGTTACTGTGATAAAAAATTTTTTGCTAATCATGCGTTACAAAAGCATTTAATGATACATACCAAGAAAAAAAATGTTTGTAAAGTATGTGCTTCAGAATTTTCTACATTGGAAGAATTGAAAATGCATCATAACACTCACATAGGCGAAGAACCTTTTGTCTGTGAAATTTGTGGCAAAGGATTTTTCCTAAAAAACCGGCTTAGTCATCATCTGTTGAGTCATGATAAAATCAAACCACATGTTTGCAATGTTTGTAACAAAAGTTTTAAGCAACGTGTACATCTAAGAGATCATTCTATGATTCATACTGGAGAAAAACCACATACTTGTTACATTTGTTGTAAAAAATTTATTCAGCTATCATCATTACAAAGGCATTTTGGGACTCATACTGGAGAAAAACCACATAACTGTAGTATTTGTAAAAAATCCTTTTCACAGAAAAGTGATTTAAATAAACATTTAGTGAGCCATACCGGAGAAAAGCCCTACAAATGCAGTATATGTAAAAAGGGATTCTCAAGGAAAGCTTATCTCACTGAACATATCACAAAACATTCTGATTCCAACACTGTCTGAGAATTCTCTTTTATTATATGTTAATATTTAACATTAAAAATTAATCAAAATGCTTTGAAACATGTGATATGTTAAGGTATCTTATTTAAAAACTTGTTCCGTATTTGTTTATTATATTTGTTATACATTGTTTTAATGAAATGCAGAAGAAGTAATGAAAAACAGATTATATTGTCTGAAGAATTAGTGTAATCATCAGTTTATTAAAATTTTCTTTTCATGTCACTTTATTTCCAACAGAGTTTATGATATCATATTGTTGCTGAGATATTAAATGCTATTTAAACAATTACTTAATAGTGAAGGAGTGAAACAGCATTAATTAGCATAAATAACTAGATATTAGTGCCTAGGCTAAATTATTTATTTAAGAACTCTAACGTTATATAAATCACAACTATGAAATTAATTATTTTATATTACAAAGTAATAAATCACATACTGTCATAAGATATATGTTAGTCATCAGAATTTACACTAGACATTTTGAAGTATTTAGCATGCATGCCAATCATGAATTTCAAGAAGTCATACATTTTTTTTTCTTGTATTCTAAATACAGTATTAAAAAAATGAGTTTCTTAATTAAAAAATGCTGATAATTCTGTCTTGGTTTCTTTATTAGCAAGAAAATGAACTGGCTGTTTTTCTTGTATTCAGTCTCCTGCAGAAATGCCTTCATGAAGAACTTCTGTATCTTAAAAAAGATAGCTATTAAATTGTCTAATATAATTAACCTAACACTCTGTAAAATATAGCTCTTGTAGCAAATTCATTTTATTACAATCAGAAATATGCAAATAATTTCTATCCAGTATTTTTTCATCATCCATGTTCAGCAGAGTGAATGTAAGATATTGATTATGTGAAGTAATTTATTTATTTTTTTTATAATTATTGAATTTTACTAGTGTTACTTAACATATATAAAAATACTATTATGGATTAATGTAAACTATTAATTTTAATATTTCTGAGGATTTATTTTTCTGTTAAGTCTAAATAGAGAACATTTTTGATTTTTCAGTTTATGTTAATATTTGAAATCATTTTTTATAGTAGAACCCTTGCATGTGATCTCTGTTGCAGTTAGCAAAAGCTGATTACTGTTAAAAGGTTCAGATTAAAGTCTTTGGATTCCATTTTGTCAGATACCATCAATTAGTACCTTGCAATCAGAATTGAGATGAAACTTAATGAGACAGTCTTTATATGGTTTATTGCTGATTGAATAATTTAATTGAGGCAATTCTAGGCAAAGTGATATCAAAATCCACAGAAAAATGGATACTTATGTATTAATGCAACCACCTTAATAGAAGTTGCCGAATTTTGAGAATGTGGCAAACTCTGGCAACCATGCTCATAACAATCCTCATTTTATCAAATCCATGCCGCCATTTTAATATGCATTCTTATTTTGTTGTATTCAAAGTTCCAATGGTTTTTATAAATAAATCATGGTATTTTTTCCTTAAATTTATTTTTAAAATGCAATGTGTAGAAGTTGGCAATGAGAAAAAAAACTGTGGTAAAATTTCTCCAAGAAATACAGAATTTTGCTGAAAATTTTCTAAATTAATGTAAGGAATAAAGGAAACACATTTCTTCGATAGCCAAGGGTTGCACAAAGGCGAGTCTTAAATTTTCAGAATTTGCCAACTACGTGCATAGCTATTCTGAAAACCATGCCGATAACAATCATTCAGTCAGGCCATACCGCTGTTTTCATATTTCATATACATTATTTTTTGTTGATTCAAAGTTCCAGTGGTTTTTGTAAACAAATCATTATATTTTTTACCTTAAACTTAGTTACAAAATATGAGCTTGTGGAAGTTGCCAGCAATGGAAAAAGCTACACGAATGCATAATTTTTCTAAAATTTTTTTAAAGGGCATAAAAGGAAATGTGTTTCCTCGATATCTGAGCGTTGCATGAAGCCGAGTTTATACAGTTCTCTGATGTTTTTTTAAGTGAAAACAGATAACTTTGTACATCAGCAGAACAACACAAAAAAATTTGAGAAACAATATAAGTGTTTTTTTTTCTCATGAATCCTTATTTAATAATTCAAATTTGTATTTTGAATTGCTAAAGTATGTTTTCTTTTCATATGTTGACAGTGTTTACAAACATAGTTAATATCAATAGTTTAAGAATCTTTCTAAAAAAAAAAAAAAAAAAAAAAGCCAAAAAAACAACTAACTTTTACCTTTTCATGTGCCAAAAATCGCCAAATTCTGCCAATGTGGTAGCATTAATATGCAAGTACTGAAAAATGTAAATGTAATCACTATTGTCTATACAGCACTGTTTTAAAGCTTACCAATATGTAATATATTGTAATCATATTTAAATGCATAAAAACATTACATTTTTATGTCTTAATAGTATGTTCATGCATAAGAATATATATATCTCATAATTTAAATTTTAAAATTAGTTCAAAATGTTTAGAAAATTTTATATTGAGGATTCTACCAAGCAGTTTTCTGCTTCAGAAATCTTGCACATTTTCTGAATGCTTATAAATGCTCAGAAAAGGTTTCAAAAACTGGTACTTGCATTTGATTGCAGATTAAGGATAAGTGATTTGGCTTCTTTTTTTGGTCTAATTATTTTATTGTTATTCTGCATTTTTGATTGTTATATAGCGTCAAAAGTAAAATTAGAGGAAGAAGATTAATTTGAATGCTATAGTTAATTTTTAAAGGTGCAGAGTTTAGCTATCTGTTATCATTATTGGTTGTAAATACACAGAGCCTATATATTATAAACTATTTGAGAAGTCAAACAACAAGAATCAGCATTATGTTTGTAAATTTTGCAGGATTAGTTTTGATAGTTTAATTACAGAACAAACTTCCTCAGCTGCCAAGTGCAAAATATTTTTATCTAAATGGGTAATAAACATCATAATTTCTGGTGATGGAATAGGGTGGTTTTTTATTTTCCTTTGTATGATGTAGCAAAATCAAAAGTACTCGTTATTAATAAATTATTAATCTGCCACTGTTTGTTTCAATATGTGATTATTCATTTATGAGTTCCAGAGGCTGTGTTGAAACTAAATAACATTTGCATAATCCGAGTTCAGAAAACAAAACATTTATTTTACATATTTTAAAGAAATAACGTTCTGAAACAACATGTTTCATCTACACAATCAATCGACGCTTTCACCAGAGCATTACGCCATCAAACTTGGCACACAAGTTCAAATTGAAGAATTACAGAAGCGTTGTTGCCACACAAGAAAAGACATATAGTTACAACTTCACACAATAATAAAACAAAAACACACTTTTGAAAAATAGACAATAATAATAAAAATAGTAATAATAAAATTCTTAACAATATTTTCTCGATTATGCAACAGGCTGAGTGGTAAAATCCCTGAACATTGGTAGTTCCGACCTTGGTTTGATTCCAGGCAAACGGGCTGGCTGTATAAGTATTTTCATGGTTTTCTCCATGTGCAATATGTATACAGGCCAGTTTCCCTTATAAAGTCCTCCACAAAGGCATCCTTCCTCTTAGGCAAATAGCCGTAGTGTGCTTTGCCATAATCAGTGAAACAAAACCCAAATCATTTATGAGTTATTATGTTACTTTGAAAGATTAACCTTAATTCACAATTTTGATCTAGTATATTTTATGAGGAAATAGGTGCAAATATGGATTGTCATGATCGCAAAAGAATGAAAATAATATGCTAATGCATTTTTAAAAGAAGCTTTACTAATATGTGTTTATTACTCAATCACCAAATACTAATAAGTCAATTTGAAATGTAGCATGTAGGTTGGATAAGAACATAGGTTATTAAACATCACAAATTTCAGCTGTATTCTTGAAGGCAGGTCTGAAAAACGATACTTCAAACATCAATGAGTTTTTTAAAAATAAAAATAAGAAATAAGTACTACTTTAGACTTATGAAATGTAACTTTAATTTTAATGTAACTTAAATTTTGAAAACCATTGTGTTTCTGCTTGACTGCAATATTATCTCCACTGGCAACATCTGTTATGTTTATAAACCATCAAATGTATTTATTTCATTATTTTGTCACAATCTTATGTAAAACACAAGCTATGAAATAGTGAATCAAATTATGGCAGCTTATTATCCTAATGAATTAAGGTAATAGGAATTGCTAGATAATTTGAAAGAAATCTTGCAGCTCTAAAGGATTAAATTCATAATGAATGACAATCATAAAAATAAAAGGAAGTAAAATTATTTCAATTTTTTTTATAATGTTGAAGTTGTATATGTGAATAGCATGCTTTAAATTATTGTTATTATGATTATTAGTACAGTACAAAGTCCATAATCCACACGTCCATTATCCGGAATGACCTATAATGTGGACCTCAAACCAGAAACTTACGCATGCGCGTAAAGCGTTTACCCATGCGCTTCCGATAGTGAAGTGACAGAGAGGTTATTGAAAACAAAAAAAATTCAATTGACAAGTTAGTCGGTATTCTCGACAGAGCAATTACAGGACTTGAACAGTGGAACTTTGTAACTGAACAAGAAAGTATGTCTGTTTATAGAATTAAAAAGAAAGAATTAGAACAAAAAACAAAGCAACTTAAACAACTTACATTAAAAGAAATGTTTAATAAAGTAAACAAATAAATAAAGCTTTTTTTTTTTGTAAATTTTGATACCCTTTAGATCATAATTGTGATATCTGGCGACTGTTTGGCGATCAACAGAGCATGCTTGGCGCAGGTAGCTCTTCTCCGAGAAGGGTTAATGTATTTATTAAGAGTTGCATGTTAGCCTCGGAAGAGGAAGGTAGTATATTGTACTATGCGGTAGGAGCGACGTACTGCTCTGAGTAACTATTATATTATGCTTTGAATCATATATTTAATAAATGTTTTTTTTGTCTTGCTAAATGGTGCCTTGTTAAACCACGAAGTCATCACAACACGCTCTCTTACGAGAAAACCAGAGAGGTTAGAAGCTTAGAGCGTTGAAAACGAAAGAGAAGTAAAGTTAAGCCTAATCCACTAAAGAAGCGCGCTTTTGCAAAAGGGAGTAGAAACGTGAGAATTATTTAATCAAGAGTTTGAAAGGCTTGATTCTAAAGGAAAATAGAAGAAAATGTTCAAAAACGCAAAGAAAGAGGATTTAGTAACAGTTCTATTGGAAATTGGCGAAGAACCATCTCAAGATTTGAAGCTGGTAGAACTGAAACACAAACTCCAGAATAGCAAGGAATACATCGAAGATGCTGATTTCGTGAAAGAAATTCTGATTACTACAGTGGAGAATAGAAAAAGAAAAGAAGAAATGGAAAGAATGCAAATGGAAGAAGAAAGAATAAGAACAGAAAGAGAACACGAAATAGAATTAGCGAAGATTCGAGCAACTCAAAATGAAGGAAGTAGAAGTCCAACACCTTTAATCCAAAACACAGAACGAGAAACCGAAATTTCCCTGGACAAGCTGATCAAAGGAGTAGAAACACTGACTATACCAGTACCGAAGAGAGCAGAAAAATGGAATATATTTTTCGATTCTATCGAAAGAGCATTTAAGCACAAGAAGGTTCCCGAAGAATACAAATCAGAAATATTATTGAAATTAATTGGAGAGAAAAGCTTCAAATGTTCTTGTTTATATAAAGGAGGAAGATCTGCAAAATTACGAAAAAGTGAAAAGCTCTTGTTCTGAAGGAATATCAACCTACTCCTCAAACCTGTTTAGAAAACTTCAGAAAAACTAAACGTTATTCCGGCGAAACGCATATCCAGTTCGCTTCAAGACTAACAGCTACATGGGGACTATTTACTGCAAGTCAAGAGAAGTAAAGGATTTCGAAACACTCAAGGAGTTAATTATTTCCGATAAATTATTCCAAGCTTTAGATGAAGAAACAGCTGCACACGTCACAATACGCCAAGGAAATAAATGGCTGAAGCCTCAAGAATTAGCTACAGAATGTGATATTTATTTCACGGCCAAAGGAAAATCTTTCGACGAAGTTCGAAATGGAATTAAGTGATCACCGAGATTCCTGGATACGACATGTGCACAAGACAAATATATTCCGCCACCCATGAGAAAAGAATATCCAAAACACGAAAGATCTTATGCGAGAAGAAAAGAATGTTATATTTGTGGAAATTATCAACACATCGCAAGAGATTGCTTAGACAAAAGAAGAAAGAACGAAACTGCAGTAAATAAGAAGAGAAAGGATGATTCCAAAGCTCAAAAAAAAAAAATTCAAACAGAACATCAAAAGAAGAAACCAGAAGCCATGTTCGTAGCTATTTTTTTGAAGTAGACTCATCCCATCTACGATCCGAATTCGCAGAACGCATCGTTCAACCACTGCAAAAAGTAGATACGTTTTTATTAACTCTGAGAAAATCGAAGCTATCGTAGACTCTGGAACGCAGATAACGATCGTACATTCATCGCTCATTCCAAATTTAGAGGAGAGAGAAGGAGGTAAAATATTGCTAACACCTGCTTTCGGACAACCAATTGAAGCAAAAGTTTGCCGTGTACCTATTTACCATAAAGATCATTGGAAGCAATATATTTAATTTTGTGGATACATTAATTGCAGTGAACTGATAAGCTAAATGTGCCTTGCCTAATAACTGAAATACACCAACTTGATCCAAACAATTATTGCTGGGGTAATAACTCCAGAAATGAAGGCACATACAGTAGAACTGATGTGGTAGGAGTTGTGAGAATGAGGTGATGTTGATTAATCCTGCGGCAGAAGAACCAACGCAGAAAGAAATAATTACGGAAGCGAAAACGCTCACAAAAGTTTATTCGCCAATGCACAGTCAAACGACAGCGTCGACTTCCCCCCCCTGCTAATGCTTATGGAGGAGAAAAACGAAGAGGAGGAAGGGGAGAAGGCGAGTGTTTATGTAAACACAGACTTGTCGTCTGCTGAACGCCTACGCGAAGAGCAAGCTAACTGTTCCTCGCTGAGAGAAGCATGGAAGCTAGCAATAGAAAAAAAAGGAAATTATTTATTTATTGATTCATCTTTTACATCACCAAGAAAAATATTAGGACAGACTGTTTTTCAGTTAGTGCTTCCACTTAGTAGAAGAGCACAAGTGTTGGAATTAGCACATAGTTCCATTTTCGGTGCACATCTTGGAATAAGAAAAACAAAGGAGCGAATACGATATTCATTTTTTATTGGCCTGGATTAGCACAAGATGTTCGAAACCTTTTGTAAAACGTGCAAAGATTGTCAGTTGAAAAGTCCAGAAAAGCGATCTGACAAGATTCCCATCACACCGGTCAGAAGGCCAGGATTACCTTTCGAAACAGTTAACATCGACGTTATTGGACCTATTGAACCTCCCTCTGCTAGGAAACATAAATATGTGTTATGTCTGGTAGATCAACATTCCCGATGGCCAGAAGCCATTCCACTGAGAAGTTTGACAGCAAAAGCCACTTGCGACGCGCTTTTGGAGATTTTCATGAGAACAGGAATCCCTAATACAATAGCTAGTGACAACGGAAGTAACTTTGTTTCAAAATTAACTAAAGAATTCCAGAAAAGACTAGGTTCTCACCCTAGGTTCTCTACACCTGCTTACAGTGCTTCAAATGGATTAGTAGAAAGATGGAACAAGTCCTTCAAGCAAATGTTACATCATGTCATCAGGACTGATCCTTCGAATTGGGATAAGCACATCCCCATACCTGCTCTTTGCATACAGAGAAGTACCAAACTGCACCACGGGTGTCTCACCATTTTCAGCTGGATGTATGGAAGACAACCAAGAGGTCCTTTAGCAGTATTAAAGTCTTCATGGTAGGAGAAATACCTATACCACCTAATCTAAGTGAATCGGCAGTGGATTACTTACAGCATTTAAAAATAAGGTTAGAACAAGCAGCTGAACAAGCCAATTTAATTGCAAGTGATAAACAACAAAAATATGCTGACTACTTTAATCGGAGATCAATACCAAAAAATTTCAAAATCGGAGAA